TGTATACACGTACACACACACACACGTATGCATATGTGTATACAACACGTGAATGCGAGAGGAAGTCCAGAGTACGGTTTCACAAGCAATTCACTACGTTGCTGATGCAAGGTTAGAGACGAGTGGTCTGCGTTGGGCCTCGCGACTGCAAGTATGCAACAGTTGAAGGGCATACGATGCGGTTCCCCTCCATGTCATGTCGATAAGGTCTGCCAACACCGAAGCTCAAGCCTGTGCTCAAGCTGTCAGAGCCTCTCAACGAGAGTCTCAACAGACCTGTCGAAGGCCTGTTAGCAATCCTGCAATGAGGCACTCATCAGATCTGTGTTGATATGCTTCGCGAAATATAGTTGCTGTCATCGTTCGGCGGATGATTCCGTGACCACTTTGTCTGCCCTTGCCACGAACTGTACATGCTGCTGTGCATCATAGTGGCAAGGAAGCCATGTGGGCATTGTCTTTGCCTGAGAGGCACCCACCTCCAAGGGAGTGCAAACTCAGAATTGGCCGGGGGATGGCTGCCGACGAGGCCAACTCGGCCTGACTCGCGCGCGATCCTCCGTGACCCCCAAAACACTGCTCCACGAAAGAAGAGAAGCTTTCTAGCACCTGGGCCGCCAATATTGTAACCATTTCTCGGGTACGATCTTCGGGTTCGGGGTTTAGGGGATAGGGCAGTTGCAAGGCTACCTCTAGCCGGAAGTCGCCGGCATGTCGGAATGAAGCGGCATGACAGCATGATCTTTTTGTCGTGAACACGCTAAGGAAATGCTGGAGAGATCTCGAAAGGACATTGGCAGGGTTTACAAGATTTGCCACATGTAGCCGCATTCATGCACGTCCACCCATCCCAGCAGCAGGTTAACGTAACTTGCATTCATCTCCGAATCGAGCAGAATCTGACTTTAATTCTGATAGGCCACCATAGACTGAGCAGGGTATAGTACAATGTAATCTACCGTAGCAAACCGCTGTGTGCTTCGGCATCCGAAGATACTCCGTTGGCACAAAAGGGGCAAGCACGTACATACGGACGGTGTATGTTGTGACGACACCCTTTTGCCTGTCTTTGGAGGCCTTCAAGCCACCCGACCCAAGGCCGCATCGATGCGTGGGCTCAGGGTGTAGGTAAATCAGTACACTTTGTGGGGCTCTCATGGTCTAAAGTCTAAATTATTGCAGACGCAGATTGAGCTAGCCCCAAAAGACAGCTTTATTCCCAGGCACGCCTAGGCTCCTCGCAATGATTTCGTGGATCCAGGGCCTTTGCTGTCAGGGTTCGCCCTAGACCTCTAGCTCGCCACAGGCTTTCGGGCTTACGAGTTTAGAGTTTAGGGCTTCAGGGGGGTTCACGGTTCCAGGACTTCTGGAATGCTCCGGCAAAGGACAGCCGGAGCGGGAGCACCAAAGCAACTAGGCCGGAGTCGGGAGTCGATGTCAATTTGTGTGTTTGTGTCTGTCGGTCTTTGTTATATGTCAGCCTCCTGTCATGCTCTCACCGACAATCGAAATCGTAGTTCGTGGGCGCAAGCCTCGCATGTGAGAGTTCCAGTTTTGTTGCATTTGCCGTGTTTCTTTGTCCTGTCGGTGCCAGGACCAAAGCTGTCAGTGCCCGAGCACTGCGAGAACCCCATGCGGCAGAGTGCTGTGGGAGGAAAAGGAAAAGCAAAGCTGTGGCCTTCTTTGCAGAGCTCAGGCTTAGCAGAGCCGGGATTTCTCAAGCATTGTAAGGCAGAGGCCAAAGACCGTGAGAAGATGCATCTCAGGTGGGTCAACGTGACCCTGTCATCGGCATCTGCAGGCCCAAGTTATGGCCGCTGAGAGCCGCTGAGTAGGAACAGCGAATAGTAGCAGGAGTATGACGAGTAGCAGGCGAAGGCAATTTTAAGTAGCTTAAGCCACTGCGATTCTAGTCCACAAGGTATGTGCAACCCGGATGCGTTGGCAGTGAAGTGAAGGGTCGGCGAAACGAGACGAATCGAGCACTGTCGAGCACGCCGCCTACTTGCGCCGCATTGAGCGGCCTAAAGCTCATCATTCAAGTGTCGTTGTTGTGACTGCTTTACTATGGATCTGAGCTCATCTACCCCCCCCCCCCCGGAATCACACATCGTGGACTCCGGGGAGTTGGACCGTCACCAGCAGCCCGGCATGCAGGCTCCACATGGCGTATGGAGCAGATTTGCAAGCGGCATGCCGGCACACTGGCGGGAGCCTCATGTCATTTGGACTTCAGGCCATTGGTTACATCAATCGAGGTTTGGGGGCGAAGCTCGGTGATGACCCAATGGGGATAACTATTTTTAGAGAAGTCCTGGGTGTTTCGGAACACAGCACACCTTTTCAGTGAAGTTTGTGGCATCGAGTTTCCGAGAACCAAGGAGCAGATGCTGCTCAAGTCCGAGCACCTTTCAGTCGAGGCGTGACAGGGCTCTGCGAAATGCACGCTCTTGTGCTATCTTCCGATTCTGTTTTGCTGACTAATCAGTGTCTTGTATTTGAAGTTCAAGTCCTGGTTTTGTCCAGGTGATGTGTCTGGCACTGGAGCCGTGGGAGCTGCCACCTCAGCCCAGCCGCTGTTGAGATTCTCACAGTCAACGATGGCGAACCTCAGCACTGTGGGCCGATGTGGTCTGACAGATCGAAGGTTCGCATCATTCAGCGACTGTGCGGGCGCATCCTGGATGCTGGAGGTGGAGCTGTGATGAAGTGATGGCGATTGTGGCGACGGTGCTGATGATGTTTGAGACTGTGATTTCGATGCTGGTGACGCCAACGATGGACATTCTGGTTGTGGTATGTCATGATGGTGGTTAATAGAGGAGGAGCTACGATTTTCTTCGGCACGGCCTTGGCCGCCCCATATGGCCATGATGATGATGATCATAATCAGCATCAGCATCATCACCATCATCATCATCATCATCGTCATCGTCATCATCACCAAGCCTGCAAGTATCTACACGCAACATTTTCGATTGGTATCTGCCTCCCTAGCTGAACGCTCATCTGCAGTCTTTCGTCGCTTCGATCCGTTGTTGGTTTTTTTTATTGCGACTGTCATGACTACAAGAACTTAACTAGACCAGCAGCTATGATCTGCATCTGCGCCAAGGAGCCGCCAACTTGCTGCCCTCGCAGTGACAGCCCTCACGCTCGTCCTGGGCACGCTCGTCCTGGTGCGACAGGGAGGGTAAGGGTAAGGGCTGAGAGCTGCGGATTAAAGGGGGTTGCTGAGGGATCGTGCCAAGATTTGTGCAGCTACTCACTCACGGTGATGTAGTTGTAGAGCATTTGGGGTAACTCGGCATATCGTTTATGGGTTCCTGCAAGCCCAAAGACAGGCGTGCCAGAGCATGTTTGGCGATTTAGAGCTTGATCTCCTGAGATTCACATGAATGAACACTTCTGAAAACTAGTAGGGGCTTGCTGAAATCATGCTTGCCAAGCTTAGTGCTGCAGAGCATTCGTAGGGAAGCCGAACCGCGAAGTGAGCAGCTACAACTCGTTGACCCCTTCCACTGTGCCCTGTGCCATGACCTCAACCTGCACCTGCGAAGCCCACAAGAATCCCTAAACCCCCGAACGGAGAGACTAAGCCCGAAAACTCACACCCCCACAAAGGAATCCCTACGGCCCCAAAGAGCCCTAACTCCGAAAACCCCCCGAAACGTCCTTACCCGGCCTTAGCCTCGCCGCCAGGCGGCTCTCAACGCCGCCTGGAGGCTCAGTCGCCAGAGCGTCCCACGAAGTTTTAGGGTTCAGGGCTTAGGGCTTTAGGGGTTTAGGGGTTTTAGGGCCGTTCAGGGTTTAGGGTTTAGGGGACACTTTCTGTTTTGTGAAGGCTGACTAGGGGTTCTGGATTTGGGGCTTGAGCTTCCCGAGTGTATTCCTGGTTGGATATTGGGTTAGCAGGTGGTAAGGAGGGCACAGTACACATGACATCAATTTGCACCGACCTGTCCCATCAACCAGCATCAACGTTGCGAATCCAAAGCCATACCTGAAGCATAAACTGCATAAGAACAAGCGCACAGAGGGCCGGCATGCATCGCGACCCCGTTCGGCAAGTGGAGATGGGAAGTCTACCGTTTTCGGCTGCCTCGGAAGCGGTACCCTTGCATCGTCAGCATGACAGAGGCAGGGTTTGTGATGTTTGTGATGTTTGGGACGATGTGCCTGAGGCTACGAGGCCATACTACGACATGTAGGTGTTCAAGCCGGTCAGTGGAAGCGGACTGCGAGGACTGGCCTGGCAGCGAAAAGTTTGTGACCGATAGTTTGTTTTGGGATGCCACCCGGTTGGGGTCTACGTGCGATATCTGCCGGGGTTTGCCTTTGCTCACATGGAGCCCTTTGGATCCTCGCCGGCCCGGAAAGCCTAATTGAACTTCGAAAACCTGGTTCCCGAACACTATCCCTTGGTACCGTAACACTATCGCTTGCTCCGAAACCAGCCGGAACTTTGAATCACCTTTGTACCTGCTTGAATAGCCGCTGGGCCGCATCCTACGAAAATTTTCAGGGAGAGGAGACACATAACTGCGTGCTCGGAGTTGCAGTGTCAGGAGATGCTAGGCTTCAGGAATTGCAGAAATCACATGTCTTGAGCCTGGGCAATGCGTCGGAGGCTGCCTGGTGGCTAGACTGCGAAGTGTAAGCTGTCACACTGGCGCACGAGGCCGGTCTGACAGAACCTTCACTTAATTCACTTGTGCTGAGCATGAAGGGCACCCTCCACCCAAGCCCTGAAGTCACACCAGCAGGTGCAGGCGGAGTTCTTACCGAATCTGAAGGACGTGATGGAGCCTCCAGTCGCACTGCACTGGTACCCGGCTGCCCCAGCAGTGAAGGAGCAGGCCCGACGGCGGCAAGATGCTTCACTGCTGGGGATAATTGCACCATCTTGCAGAGTTACTGGCTTGTGTGTGCGTGTGTGTGTGTGTGTGAATGCCTTGCATGGAGGTGTGCCGTCCCCCGGCATGGCACCTTCAAGCAATGCCACGAGCGAGTTCGGAATGGATGCATACCGGCTGCAGCTTGGCCGCGCCCCTGCACGGACTTTCGAGCCAGGGCCTGGCTGTCATACTCAGGCCTCATGTGGATCCAGCTGCTGCAGATGTGGAGCTTCCTCCGGCTGAAACAGTACCTCTCTCCTGCTCTCACCAGTCGCAGCCGCTCAGCATGTGCCTGGCAAAACTTGCGAAGACGAAAAGCGCTCGAGCACCTTTTGCTGTAAGTCAGACGAGCCGCTTGCTACTGCGCCTCGGCTGATCCGCACTTTCCAGTATCAGCACAACCATCACCAGATTCAGCGTTTACTTACAGCTATGGTGTGTGTCATAAACATCGTTCAAGCTCTCTTCGATATTGCTGATACTTTCCGTTGTTGCTGCAGCGGTCATGGCTATGCCCGTAGAGTTGTGGGCCTGATCACATCTTCAGCTGTCTTAGGAGATCAGATTGCACTGCACGGCACTGGCTAGCCTCCCAGCGCATCTTCTTGCATCCTATGGACGGTAACATGCACAACGAAAGAAATCACTTCACACCAACGCTTACAAGTTTTCTCATGTTACATTGAGACTACACCACACTATATCCCACATCATCGCGCTCGACATTCTAATGCATCATACCAACGCACGCACGCAGACACAGAGAGCGAGAGAGAGAGAGAGAGCCAAGCTCTGACATATTCGTACAAGTGCTTGCATCTAGCATTCCTGGACAGATTATCAAGTGATTGATGCTGCATAATTGTTTCTTGTATATGACTGTTGGATGTTGGCACTTCCTGCTGATTCTGCTGTGGCATAATGCTACCCCGTTTTCGTATTGCATGCGGCCGTTGATCGTGCCTGTGTTGTTTTGCACCTGCATCGTAAGGAGCAGGCAATTAGATCAGATGGTGCCCTGGTATGGGTATGCATAGAGCTTTTCCAGTGCCTCCGCTACGTGGCTACAGCTACCTGCCACCTGCTACCTGCTACCTGCAGCTAGCTTCCTACTACATACTACCTACAACTGCTCCTGCTACTGCTGCTGCTACTGCTACTGCTACTGGCACTGCCACTGCTATTACGACGACGACTACTTATGCTCCTTCTCCTACAACTGCAGCTGCAACTACAACTACCGCTACCACTACCACTACAAGCTACGACAACGACGACGACTGCTACTACTGCTACTGCTGGTGCGGCTACTGCTGCTGCTGCTGCTGCTGCTGCTGCTGCTGCTGAGTTTGTGCGATCAGTGTTAGAGCATGCCGTAGCCATGGCCAGGATCACTCGCCGCATTATGGCTGTTGTTGATGTTAGCATGGTTAGCGGTCAGTCACCTTTGATATTACCACGAATGCTCGTGGTGCGCCTTCACGTTGTTGACATAGTGGATGGCTCTTAGTCTTATTGACGTTGCTACCATCAACGAGTAGTTTCGTGTCAGAGCGATTTACGATCCCTAATGTCGCAGTGTCCAATGCAGGCCTCCGGGATCTGTGTCGCCACTTCAAAGAATATCCATCCGTAGGTGCGGTGATTAAAACCACACCTCTAGCGAACGATCCTAAGACCTTAGCCAAACTTCTGGGAGTTCTCGGCACCAAGCTTGTACCCACCGTGACAATCTCCGAAATGCATCTTGGCACATGTCGCCCACCCGCGGCTAGCTGAGCTTTGGGGAAGCGCATCGGTGCCTCGGCTGAGTGTCTTAGGGTTGAGGGGTTTCGACTTTAGGAGTTTAGGGTCTAGGGTTTCGGCTTTAGGGATTTAGGGTTTAGGGGTTTAGGGTTCAGGGTTCTGAACCCTAACCCCTAAACCCTCTTTAGTGCCGGCTTGTTCCGATGAAGGGTTGCCAGGCGGATTCTATCGACGGAAAGCACATGCCTGAATGAAGAGGGTTCTTCCGGGCTCGTGCTTGCAAGAGAGATTTGGGCGCCTGAGTTGCTGAAGCGGAACCGAAGAGTCCACAACGGGTGCGAAACAGCTTTCGATCCAGCTTAACTGTTACGTTTTGTCTCGAAGGCTTCGGCTCTTCGGTCTTTTGAGGGATCGTGTAGCACTGCGCTGACGAATGCTCAGACAAGAAGAGGCATTGGAGCAGCATGCCTAGGCCGGACAGGCCTCCGATCAATGCTGGTCGCCCTATGTGCATGCATCCCCGACGGTCAGGACCTCCCGCAAGTGTCCCCGAATGTTCCACGTCTATTGAGGCCCCAACTTTGACAGTGACACCAACCATGTTCTCGAGTTTCACGAACTTCTCAGCAGACTCACAGAAAGGATTGGTTGCCAGACTTCTTTGCGAATGAACCCCGACACTATTTTCGAATCTTTCGCCGAGGGGCAGACCACCACGCCCCGATCACTGACCACTCCCACGTTCTTTAGGGTTTAGTTTGTTACGGTTCCAGTCGTTCACGCCCTGCAGGAAGTTAGCCAGTGCGCTGTGAAAGGCTTCCAAGCTGCTGAGGCAGAAGGGATGCCGATGGGTTCGTAGTACAAGGCTTGCCAGGGCATTTCAGTGTATTTGCAGCCATGCTGGATGGTTTCTGTTGTGATCATGACGATGACAATGGTGGGGACATGGACAATGACGATGACAGCGCTTGAAGTTTCGGATTTCTTCCGCTCACGACAGATCCGATTAGCATGCTGCTTGTTTTTGACACAGGGCGGCTTACCCTGCCTTGGACAAACTGCTGGGTTGGTAGTTCTGCCAGGAAGCGCCTAAGATTGACTCTGCGGACATGCAGGGTTCCATTGCTTGCGCGAAAATCGAATCCCGGGTGTTGATGTTCATGAGAGGCCCAGTGAGCAAATTTCAGAGTGCCGCCACACTGAAAGAGTACAGACGGCAGGATACAGTGGATAGACTGACAAACCCGTGTTGACAACGCGTGTGTGTGTGTGTGTAGTGCGTAACCGGTGTTGTGATAAGCTGCTCTGGTTGACGGGCAGTGCACTAATGGCTTGGAGCCTCATTCTTCGATGGAGAGCTGGCTGACCTCAGGATACGCTGAGATGCGACCGACCGCTGCCTCCGAGACGTGCCGGCTGCTCAGTGTAAATGGTATACGGCCCTGCGGCTGTGGCTTCTCAGGACGAAGGCAGAACTAACCCAACATCCGGTTCTCCGAAACAGCAACGGCTATGGAAGTCACCTCTAGAAGAAACAGAGCCCGGTGTCTTCAGACTTCGTACGGAAGCTCCCCGTGGCTCAGGAGGATGAGGTCTTCCCGGCCGAGATTGCCACGGTGGCCATTAAGCCCATGCAGCCGCGAAAGCAGAAGGCCAGTCCCGCAGCCCTGGCTCTCCGACTCTTTGGCGTCTTGGGCTACCGCCTTTTCTGGGCCTCAAGGCTGGCTGTGGGGCTGTTCGGGACTAGAGCAGGCCGTTTCTCCTGTTACAGAAGGCAAATCGAAAGGCAAATCGGCAGAGTTCCAGTATTCTTGAACACTTCATCCCCGGTCACCTGTCTCCAGCTCGCTTCGCAGGCCAACCTCGTGAGCTTTAGCCCGCGCCTCTCCGAAGACCCTGACGTCGCAGAGAAGCAGAAGGCGGCCGGCATGTTCCTAGGCTTCGAAATCGACAGCAGAGCGCTATGGTGCTGCACTGGCTTTTAGGTCTTTGGTCTGGTGAATCCATGCATCCATGATGTCATTTCGTCACGCTGAAGCGCGGAATGCCAGCGAGCAGCTGTGTCCGAAGCCCTGTCTACAGGAGATGAGGCCTCGGCAGATCACATTTCACACGCCCAAAGCTTTAGAGTGAAGCCCGCAAATCCTGCGCAGCCGTGGGTGGGCTTCCTGACGACGGAGATGGGAAGTGAATCAGAGGCCGGGTCGCCAGGTAATTTGCCCAGGGTTTAAGTTGTATGGTCCATGGTTTAAGAGCTTAGGAATATAGGGCTTGCAAGATCTTGCAATATTTACTCGGGCATATTCGGGAGCGGTTTGGAAAGCGCGTTCGTTTGAGCAGCATTTGTAACTGGCAGATGGGTCTGTATGCAGGTATGCATGTATGCATGTTAATGAGTGCAACTAACTGCATGACGCATATGTTTTGTCCCCCATCAGCAGTCAAAACAATTAAATCCATGCGCATGCGCATTACTAGAGACGTATGCAAGGCTTTCCAGACTTCTCTTGCCAGGCTGTGCCTTCTCATGCTCTAAGCCAAGCAACAGACTGTCGACACAGAGTCTGGCGGAGACTTCTCGCAGTCTCGGGGACTGCGGAACTCCACCCCTGTAGATGCCCTATACTCTTAGGTAGTCTATTACACAAAGGCTATGAGGGGATACCCTACATCATATAGTGTACACTGGGCCGTAAGGGGGCCATAGGGGGGGACCCTAGGTACCCGTGGCCCCTCCGAGCCCAGCAAGGCTCTTCGGACCTGGGAGGATGGCCGCATTTACCGGGGGGACTGGCACAAGGACCCCGGTCGCCCAGTCTTGGGGTTTGGGGCCGAGGGTTTGGGGTCTAGGGTTTTAGGGTCTAGGGTTTATAGGGTCTAGGGTTTAGGGGTTTATAGGGTTCAGGGTTTAGGGGTTTAGGGTTGTGAGGGTTTAGGGGTTTAGCGTTTAGGGGTTTAGGGTTTGTAGGGTTTAGGGTTTATAGGGTTTAGGGTTTAGGGTTTATAGGGTTTAAGGTTTGCATAGCAAGGAGTAGAAAGGGCGTGTCTCAGGCGCAGTGTTGACCACAGTGTCAGAACTAGGAACATGGATTGAAAGCAAGAACAGGAGATCACATGCGGATGTGTGTGATCGTTCATTGGAGTCTAATCTAAGATGGAAATCTGGCATTCAGGGATACGTCGCTAATGTTGAAGACTGCAAGGTGGATTCGGACTGCAAGAGAGTTTTCTTTCGTGCTTAGATCGGTCTGGGAGGGTCCTTAAGCGCTTCCCCGGAGAAAGTTTATACAACTTGCAACTCTTAGATCCCGAGCCTCCGGCGCTCAACCCTAGTCCGAAGATGTCGTACTTCAGGGTTCGTCTAAGCCCTAAACCCCGAAGCTCAATGAAGCTCATTGTTGGCTGCGAGGATGGCTGGCCGGAGGGCCACGGGGAGTTGCGCGGGGCCCTGACCCAGCTGAGATGAGGCCTCAAGGCTTCAATCACCTGTCATCATGCAAGAGAACAGTAGGGAGGCTTGGTAGTGGTGGTGGTGGTGGCTGGAGTGGCAGTCTGAGTAGCAGTGGTGGTGGTCGGAGCGGGGAGACACAGCAGTAGTAGCAGCAGGAGTACGAGTAGTGGTGGTGGTGGTGGTGGTCGTCGTCGTAGTAGTAGTAGTAGTAGTAGCAGCAGCAGAAATAGTAGCAGCAGTAGTACTAGGAGGAGTAGCAGCAGTAGCCTTGGGCAGGAGTAGCAGCAGTAGTAGTGATACCAGCAGCAGCAGTTGTAGTGTTGTGGTAGTTAGGAAGAGCATACTCACCATGATCATTATCATGATCATCTGCTGCTGCTGCTGCTGCTGCTGCTGCTGCTGTCGTTACTGTTGTTATTGCCGCTGTTGCTGCTGTTGCTGCTGTTGCTGGTGCTGTTGCTGGTGCTGGTGCTGGTGCTGGTGACTGGTGCTGGTGCTGGTGCTGGTGCTGTTGCTGCTGCTGCTGTGGTTTTTGCAGTCGTCGTCGTCGTCGACGTCGTGGTTGTAGTAGTAGTAGCAGTAGTAGTAGTAGTAGTAGTTGTTGTTGTTGTGGTCGTCGTCGTCGTCGTCGTCGTTGTCGTTGTCGTCGTCGTTGTTGTTGTTGTTGTTTGCTGTATCCCAACACAGCATGCATCAATGTTGGCGCCAGTAGCTGGTTGAAGGGATGCAGTGGTGATAGTAGTGGCCATCGAATTTTCCACGGTATGCAGAAAGGGCAGCAGTTGGAAACTTAATGTTTCCGGCGATCACCGTGTAGTTTGTGCTGATAGCAAGAATAAGAGAGACTGCCATTCCGAGTTTGTCGTCCTAGAATACACGTCTGAATGAGTATCAAAACTGGTTCCTATGTTTCCTGAGGATGTTCACACTGCAATAATTTTATGCCCTCAAAACCCTCCTGACATCATTGCAACCCCTACATTATCACGATGCAAGTAGGTTGACCTCGTACCAGTTTGTGTCAACCTTGCTTATGGCTTGACAGTAACTCCTTCTTTCTTGACGCCAGGGCTTAATGCTAAACTTGAAGGCAGGGTGTTTGCATGGAGGGCGGCCATGACTCTTACGAGCATCAACCCAGGACTCTTGCCGGTCCCAGCGGCGGCATCTTGCGAGGTGCAATGGGTCTTGAAATCATAGTTGCCATCGTCAGCCTTATCACCACGCGTCCCGTCTGCCCTCGCCGTGGTTATGCTGCCGTGCACTGAGTGCATTGCTACTGCTGCCAATCATTACTGACCGCCGGCTTGCTCCTACCTGCTGTTCTCCACACTAGTCGTCTCTTGACTTTATACTGGCGGAGCGTCTCTCGTGGGTTTAAAATCGAGACGGCGGAAGTATTCCCGTTGTGGAGCCGGCCTCGCGGCCTGTCTTGCATTGTTGTGGTGGTGGCTGGGGGCAATTACCCTTGCAGTCGACACCGTTTAGTGCAATGTTGATGGGGTGATCTCATGTGATCTCGACACTGATGGTGCTGCTGAAGACCCCGATCGTGATCGTCATTGCTCTTGAGTTGCCGGCTTTCCCAGCAGGATGTATGTTGTCAGGATGGTGATGACTCGGCGTGCGGCTTGATCCAAACCCTAAACAGTCGATTAAGACAAGTCATATAGATCATTCCATGCCTCTAAGTATGTACATGGACGAGCAGGAGCAGTGGATACGGTCTGTCTATGTATCTATGTATGTATGTATGTATTTATGTACGCATGCTGCCTGATTGTAACGATGCATCGCTACATCGCTTGTGAGCCTATGCATGCACGCATTCATGCATGCAAGCATGTAGGACTTATGTATGTCAGGTATCTATGCATGTGCATGTGTCCCTGAACTCGTCGAAAAAGGTACAGTAGCCATGGTTATCCATACTGACTATTGTTGTCTTCGCGCTTTCAACGAGTAGTTTGAGTGGTTGTTTTTGTATCGCATGTCTTGCGCATGACATGGAAGTCATGTGATGTCATGATGGTTTTTGCGTGCATGCATGGCATATGCACTGGCGAACATGCATGCCTTTGCAGAGCATACTTGCATACAAACAAGACTGGATAGATATTGTTTATCGGGAGGCCCTGGCATTATGGCCGGAGATTTCGGCGAAGAGTTTATGTCTGAATTGCAGTCACAGCCTTGGATTCAAAAAGGTATCAGCCCCACAAGAAGGATGACTGTTTGCTTCTAGATGCCACCGTGGTTTGACAGCTAATGCAGGTGCGGGTGCCAGCACTATCATGAAGATTAGCATATGAGCTCTTTTTGGTGCAGGTCAGTGGCTGGATGGGAAGATGCCGGAGCCACGGGATTCAGGTCGTGTGGGTAAGGTGCCAGGGGCGCTTGTGCGGCTGTGTCTTGGTGTCCGAGGGAGCTTAGTTAAAGAGAGGGGGTCACGGTACAGGTCTTAGCATTCAGGAGCCGACAGGGTCGCGAAACTACTGTTCGGAGAGCTGCAATTTTGAGTTTTTCGACTTCCTTTTCCCTTCAGTTGGCACTTCTGTGCACGCGAGGCACGGCAAAGGGGAGTTTGTGACCAAGTGGCTTTCGGCACGTTTTCGGCACCTCCTCTTGGGCAAACAGCCGGTTTAGTTGAGGTCGAGGATATTGAGGGTCTTTTGGGCCGATTTAATGTCTGTGTTCTTGACTGAGTAGCAGAGGAGAAGTACGGGGATGAAGTTGCAATGACGGTGCGAATCAGAACGACAGGTCCGGTCACCGCTACGTCGGGCAGTGGGCTGAAGGCTCCAAACACGGAGAAGGAGAGTGGCCCTGCTTGTCTTTCTACAATGTTCGGGAACCAAGCTGTTGTAGGGATTTGTAGGGGACCTGGGCTCACCCTCGGTCGCCTTTCATACCGCCAGATGCCGTGCCGTTGTCCTGGTGGCTCGAACCAGTGGCAACGGAGCATTTTGCAGAATTTGGAACTTGGAACAGTGCTTGCCACTAAAGCAGGTGCTGCAGAGGCTTCGTAGAACAGTAAGTTTGTGCATGAACCAAAGCGATCAGCAGAAGGTCGACCTGGCATCACTCACCTAACGCAGCATATTGGAAGACTTGAGGCCGACACTCGCAGGCCGCAAACACAGACAGAAATAAAGAAACGGAACCATCGGAAGCACCGTTTTCGCCATGGTGGACTTGGCGAGATGCTCTTTTACTCTCACATTCTTCGTGCAGTTCTTTTTGCTGAGTCTTTTTGCATAGCAGGCATAGCACGTGGCCATGGCGACTCTCCTCAGGACACGAAGCGGGTGGTTTCATCTCGGCAATAATAAGTGCATGAAAGGTGCCCATCTGTTAACGTCGCTCCGTTGGTGCTGCTTGCCCTAGCTGTCAGTGCTAGGAGCACCCGAAAGAGTCAGAGCCGGACCTACAGCATCGACAAGCAGGACGTCACGGCCACCAAATCCTCCGAATCCGGGTACCAACAGCCCAACACCAGTTCTGAAGACTCCTCAGCGTCTAATTTTTGCACCAAGCATGATTCTGATGACTTGCCGCTGCCACAAGACGACGATTTGGAGGCTGGTGAATGTGTACCTTGGCGCAGAACACAGCTGCTGCTCATGAGTTCATGGCAGTCACGGAAGAGGCCACACCGCAACTCTGATCTTGATGTCTGTGGTCGGCCGACAGGCCTCCAAGCAGCAGCGGCGGCCGGAAACAGAGACAAAGTCAAGCGGCTCCTGGACTTGAGAGCTGACATCAATGCTGCAGATGATTATGGCAACACGGCGCTTCACAAGGCTGCAGTTTCGGATCATGGGGCCGTGGCGCTGGCGGTGGCGCTGGTGCTTCTTGAACGGCGGGACAACTTGTCAGTCGATGCTCGTACTCATGACGGACACACAGCATCATGCTTGGCAGCAAAACATGGCCACAATGGTTTGGTACTGCAACTTCTCAGAGCTCGAGCTGATGTTCGCAGCAACAGTCGGACGGCCCTTCATTTTGCAGCAGAGTCTGGGAGTTACGACGTGCTGATGACCCTACTCAACGAGGGTGGAGCTGACATCAACTCTTGCACTGGCGATAGCCAGCCAGTCCTTGTATCTGTTGCAGAAAACGGAGATTACGATGTGGTGCTGCGGCTCTTACAGCAGGCGGCCGATGTGAATGCTCCAGGCAGATGTGGTCGGACGGCCCTGCATGTGGCAGCCGAGGGCGGCAAGGTGTCGACGGTGTTGCAATTGCTGGAGTGGAGGGCAAATGTGAATGCCCGGACCGACGATGGCAAAACCGCTTTGAGCTTGATTGCCACGGCCGGGCATAGTGACGTAGTATTGGAGCTGCTCCAGAAGTGGAACGCAGACATCCATGCTGCGTTTGATCGCGGTCGGATAGCCCTCCACTTGGCAGCTGAGGACGGCCAAGCATGTTTGGCGGATCATCTTTTAAAACATCAGGCCAACGTCGATGCCTGCGGGGAGGATGGTGCCACGGCTCTCCATTGCGCAGTAGAACATGGACAAGAGGATGTCGTGGTAGTGCTGGTTGGGAGGGGGGCGCAGTGGAATATCAAGCGCAATGATGAAAGAACTGCCCTCCACATAGCAGTGGCACGTGGGTATTCGAACTTGGTGTCGGCAGCACTTGCCCGGAAAGATGTTGAGGTCAATGGGGTCGACTCTTATGGCCAAAATGCTCTCTGCCTCGCAGCGGCACACGGGCACAACCAAATCCTGCAGCACCTGCTGCGTGGCAGGGCTGACACGAAGTATAGTAACAAAAAGGATCATGAGATGATGGCTCTGCATTATGCCGCGGAAAGTGGATGCAACGAAGCTGTCGTGTGCATTCTGAAATTCGAAGAAGGGGCTGCCAAAGGACTCGTGGATGCTCCAGCTGAAAATGGTCAGACCGCACTTTGCTTTGCAGCAAGGGCCAACCGCCTCCAGGTGGTGAAAACCCTCCTGGTGAAGAAAGCTGCCATTAATGCAGGAGGGGCAGATCATCGTCATTCAGCGCTTGTTCTGGCAGCTCAGAATGGACACTGGGAGCTGGTGAAAAATCTTCTTGATGAGAGGGCAGACATCCACTCCAAAAGCACTGATGGTGAAACGTGCCTCCATCTCGCTGCAGCGGCCAGCAACGGAGAGACAGTGCAAAAGTTGATGAATCTTCAGGCAGATGTTGCTCTTGAGGATATCTATGGCCGCACGCCCATTGACAGGGTAGGCAAGGACTTTCTGAAGGTTTTTGGCAGAACGAAAGTTTCCTTCGAGCGCCTAGTCAGTGCGGAAGGGCCGCAGGCTCTGATGCTGTTGGAAGACTGGCCACAAGATGCATTCTTGAAGGGGAAGGTTAGACTGAGACGAGCCAACCTTGCAGAAAGGCTTCGTGTCATCCTTGCACCAGATTCACCAGATGCTCTTGGTCCTGATTCGGTGGTGGAGCAAGCAGATGTGGACCTTTCCGCACCAGATGCTCGTGGTCCTGATTTGGTGGTGGAGCAAGCAGATGTGGACCTTTCCGCACCAGATGCTCGTAGTCCTGATTTGGTGGTGGAGCAAGCAGATGTGGACCTTTTTTCGCAGAACCTCCTCCCAGCTCCGAAAGTCCATGCATGTTTGAAGTGCTTGCCTGGTCTGCAGGCCGATATGATGTGCGACCCGGAGTTTTTGCGATGCCTTGCTCACGCAACCAACTCTGCCATCTTCCAGGTGGATGCTGTCCAGGCAGTGGTGGCAGCAGCGTGGCAACAGTCACGAATGGCCACTGCCCTCGAAGTTGCATCCGATATCCTAACGGTGCCTCTTCTTGTCTTCATATCTTGGAGCTTGCAAACTTCGCAAAGTGGGCTTCTTTTGTCCGTGTGGGCATTTGCCGCTACTGTGTGGGTTCTATGGCTTCATGCGAAGAGGTCTCTTGAAGAGCTGGTCCAGTTTCTATTGTTTTTGCGGAAAGCCTGTGTAGATGCTTTGCAGAGCCAGAGCAAGGAACGCCGCTCTGTATGCAGCATCCACAGATGTAGTTGCTGCTGTCTTGTAGTGGATGTTGTTTATGGGCTGTTCGGGTACGCTGACTTCGACAACATTGCTGATGCTGTGTATTTGCTGGTGGGGTGGTATGCCATCGTTCAGCGGCTATTGATTGGGGATGAGCTTGCAAAGCCGTGGATGTCTGCCTTCTGTGCCCTAGCATGGTTGAGGGCCCTGTACAGCTTGCGTGGAGAGTCGTGGCTGGGGCCGAGGCTACTTCCCATTCTGGCTGCAGTGAAGGACACGGTGACGTTTTTCCTGGTAGCAGCTGTTTGCATTCTTGCAGCCACCCATGCATACTACACTCTGGAAATCCCTCAGATCAACACAGACGCCTCTCGAGGGTATTCGATGTACCTGGCTTTCATGCAAGTGCTGAGACTCAGCTTGTTTGTCGATTTCAGCCTGTATGACCAGGACAGGTTTGAAGGGCTCGCGAAGAAGCAGAACGAGACGACCGCGACAACAACACTAAAGCCAACACCGCTGCAAACAGAAGACTACTTCTGGGTGCACGTGCTATTCCATGTGGTCGGGGTCGGAATCACAGTGCTTCTCATGAACCTCCTCATTGGCGTGCTGGGGCAAAATTTCGATTTTTACCAGGATCAAAATCAGAAGCTCTTTCAGCGGGCTCGTGCAAAGATGCTCTGGGAGTTGAGCTGCAGACCTTGGGCCCAGGCCAGAGAGCAAGAACTCGGTTCTGGCTCCGTCGCTGTCGATTCTCGTTCGACTCTGATTTCTTGCGATTCCTTGCTAGGCACTCCAGAAGTTGCCTGATTCGGCTCCGGTTCAACAGTACTGGAATGTAACACGGCTTCGGCCCCAGGGTGGCTCTTTGGAACGGACCTGGTTAGCGCTTGGCTGAAAGAATCTAAGAACCTGGCCTGAGACGAATAGTACAGGGGGGTCGCTTTGTCTCGCATCAGTCAGTCAGTCGATCATACGCCGGGCGGCACGTGGACAGGTAAACTGGCACACCGCACGATGCCAGACACGAGGATTCTGTACAAGTCTGGTTATCTCACGGTGGCTTTCAAGGAATTGACATGCTTTGTCCCCAACAGATGTGACCCATTCTCGTCGCGGCCTCCCCACTACTCACATACTTGTGGCAGGCTGCAGCGTTCCGCGAATAAATGCGGAGCTGTGCAATGGGTGGTCGTACGCAGATCGCAAAACTTTACCGAAAAGGAGGAGTTGTCGTTTCAAGAGCATGTCTGTAGCAGCGGGCTAACAAGCCCCTGCGCAGAACTTCCGCATTGGACAGTCTCCAGATGAAAGCAGGTAGGATGCCGAAAATACTTCGCAAGCAACGGTTTTGAAAGCCATCAAGACGCCCATGATCCGCGGAAGATAAACACAAGCAGCTCAGGGAATACATCTGTTTCGGTTCAATAAGAGCTTTATAGATTTGAACCTTCCGGTCCCGCGACAATGAAGAATGCTTCCAAGCTTTTTGGAGCTCAAGAAAATCCCGCTTTGCCATCCCGAATCTCCGACCAAGTTCATGCCCTGGTAGCCCATCATGACTGAGAACAGATCCCAAATAGTCGATGCCCAGTTTTGGCAAAATATGCTCACCCGTCGGAGTCCGAATGATTGCTTGACATTGTACTTGTAGCAATTGAAACTTATCCCTGTGAAGCTCCATGCCGTGCAAACAGCCCTTCATCAGCGATCTGAGAAAGGTAGTCCTGCAAATGAGGGTCGGATGTTCCAACCAACAGTGTATCATCAGCATAGACAATATCGGCCAAATCCCCACGATTGTATGCAAGCAGTGCAGCACCACCTAGATTTGAAGCAGCATCCTGCATCAAGACCGTCATGATGATGATAAACAGATGCGGACTCAAAGTGCATCCTTTTGAAATGCCAGAATTCTGCGATTTTAAGTTGGATTTGATGCCTTGATCTTCGACAAAACCTGCCATGATGCATCATGTTGTGAATCATTTGCCAACAAAATCAGGAATGCCGAAACGGCACAATGCATCACACAGGCTGTCCAAATCGATACTGTCAAACGCTTGCTTCCAATCGAGAGCCACCAGGCGGATCTGACCGTTTCGCTGGGCACAAGCTTGTTCGACTCTTCGCAGAGCAACGAAAATGGCATCTTCAGTACAATGACCTTCTCTAAATCCAAGCTGTGATTTCCAAAGTCTGGTCTGTACACCTGCGTCAAGAAGCGGTTGCTCGAAGAGGGAGGCAAACAGTTTGCACGCAATACTCTGCAAACAAATTGGTCGGTAGTGGTTCGGATCGGCCGGGTCTCCTTTTCTTGAATAACATTGCAACTGAAGCTGTGGACCATGCATCGGGGACGATGGCAGTTCGCCAGCAATGGTTGCAAAGATCCAACAGCCATTGTAAGGATGAATTGGGTTCCATGGCCAAAACCTTAAAAACCTCCTCGGGAATATCATCTGTTTTTGTTGCTTTACCGCTGGCCTTTTTTGAATCAGCTTTCCTGAGCTCGGCGTGGTTGAAATCCGACCTGCTGACGTGGAAAACTTCACCCAAATTCGGCCGCTGTTCAGGAATCAATGTCGTGGTCGAATTCTCCATTGAACTTTTCCAGGTGCTCAGCCAGCGTCTCTGCCCGCAGCTCAGATGAGACAAAATCCCCCTCCGTGTTTCTTAGTCGCCCCTGCTTGGTGATCCGACCCCTGCGCAGCTTCTTAATCAATTTCCAATCCGTTCCAGTTTCGATTTACTCGAGTTTCACGCCTTTGGTTCAAGAGGTCCAGGGTGCGTGAACTGATCCATGGTTTGTTGTCTCTCGTGCTCTCGACGGGTTCGTGTTGCAAGAGTGCAGCCGCCACTAAGAACAAGCACAATCCCAGAAATGGTTCACATTCACAATCGCATCATGCGTCAGTTTCGAGGAGATATGGTCAGAGAATGTGCGTCGGAGAATAGGGTTTTGCAATACTGACCAACCCATATGCAAAGTTTTCTTGCGGACGTGATTGTGAAGTGCACCGTCAACATGTAATATTGCTGCAACCGGAAAACGGCTGGAAGCCAATGGGGCCAGGCGGTCACTGAAAACACTGCGCACCGCGTTCAGGTCGCGCTGTGATGTAAGCAGTAAGTCCAGCATGGTGAATTTGTTTGCACAGATAGGTGCGAGAGCTGTTACTCCTGGTTCGCGGCATGTGACCTTCTGGTCATCTCGCATCGCTGGGTTGAAATACGCATCGATCAGCGTCCGCACTTGGGAAACCGCTTTCAAACAATCACTTCCATTTGTGAGCGATCCGATTGTTCCACGTGGAATCTAGCGTCTAGATGGGGAATGGCCGGAATTGATGAATGGCTGGGTTTGATTTGGTGTGCTGCCACTGACGTTCGTCTCGAGTGGGTGCTTGTGGAATTGAGCTTCAATGGCTGGTTTTGCTGCCACTGATGTTCGTCTCGAGCGGGAGCTTGTACTCTTGGCCGAAACAAATCGTACTGTCGTGTCTTGGTGGCCTTTCTCGCCCAGTCTTGGCCGCAACAAATTGTACTGCCTGGTCTTGGTGGCTAGATCTGGCCTACTCTTGGCCGTAAAGTTGGGCCCTTTCTGGCCCACTCTTCGGCCGTATCAAATCGTTCTCCCGGGTCGTGGTGGCTCTTTCTGGCCCAGTCTTGGCCGTAACAAATGTTACTGCCGGGTCTTGGTGGTCTTTCTGGCCCACTCTTGGCCGTAACAAAATTGTACTGCCTGGTCTTGGTGGCTCTTTCTGGCCCAGTCTTGGCCGTAACAAATTGTACTGTTGGGTCTTGGTGGCTCTTTCTGGCCCCCTGTTGGCCGTAGCAAATCGTACTGCCGGGTCTTGGCGGTGTTTCTTGCCCAGTCTTTGCCGTAACAAATTGTACTGTTGGGTCTTGGTGGCTCTTCCTGGCCCACTCTTGGCCGTAACAAATCGTACTGCTGTGTCTTGGTGCCCTTTCTGGCCCACTCTTCGGCCGTATCAAATCGTTCTCCCGGGTCGTGGTGGCTCTTTCTGGCCCAGTCTTGGCCGTAACAAATGTTACTGCAAGGGTCTTGGCTGCTCTTCCTGGCCCACTCTTGGCTTTAACAACTCGTACTGCCGTTTCGGTGTTCGATACGTGGACCGCGGTTGCAGCCAAGGGATCAAAACTCGGAATGTGGATCTCAGTGCACCCAGGGCATCGATTCATGCGATGGGAAAACGCAGTGTCTAGTTGGGGAGTCGGTGCCACAATGTGCTCTGGAATGCAATGGAAATTACTTGAAACCCCAGCCCCGCGTCATATCCTGAGAATTGAATTTGCCCGACTTGGAGACTAAAACAGCGTCTACATTGGGATTATTATCTGCTGATGTGTAATTCCTTGAAGCAGCATCCACACTCGGGTGACGTGTATTCTCGCCGACTGATGTGAGATAAACGCTACGCTCGTAGGATAATGTAGGATACATGGCAAATAGGGCGGCAGCGGTCGCAGGGCCTGGGAGGCTGAGGCGCAGAGTCGTTTTGCGATTCTCTGGCGATTGACTGACATTGAAAACGCAACATTCTTGATTACAGGGTGCCGACAGGTTCGGAGGTTGGATTTGATCAGGCAAATGATCAGACAATATCTACCAGTTGTGAGGCAGAATCCTGACGATGCTTTCGCATGGACTTCAAGAGCATTGTAATTGGAAGGATTCGACGCACTTGTATTACGCATTGACTTGGCTTAGCATAGTTGTAGTAGCCAAAATACGTTGAACTTGGAAAATGTGCTTTTCAATCTTGCGATGTTCAGAACCTGGAGTCGTCGGGTTGGCTTCTGATTGGATTGCCACCATCGCTGTGGGGGTTGTTTCATGGCGCACCAATTAGCAAGTAGAAAGCGTGTTTGCTTCTTCCCGCGGCGCTCCCGGAGGCGTTTCCTCGCGAACCATCGCATCAGCATCGACGACTGGCTTTCTGCTGGGCGTTCATATCTTTCCTGGTTGCGCTACCAAGCGTCGTGGCGCTGTTTTCTTGCACTCTAATCGGACTGGTGATCTGCGTTCCCTGTGGTGTCAGGTTTCGTCTCGCCGGCATGAGATATGAACCTGCGTTGATCTTTGGAAAGTTGTGTACTTCCTGTGTTTGCGTTGCAACCTGTATGAAAGTATGGGACCATTGTATAATAATGAGCTGTTTGCACAGATTCGCAGAATCGACTCAGGTATTTTACACTGCCCTGGGTTGCCACGGAGCAGACGGTAAGGCGCAAGCGAAAGACTGCAAGATCTGGCTTGTCTCACGTCATGACGTTCCGATTGACGGCTCTCGGAGCTTGCGTACCGATCTGAAGATGCACCTGGCGGATGTGAAAGCTGCGTTCGATGACCTCCTCGGAAACGTCTTGGCCAGAGATGTGGTGCCTGAGTTGAGATCCGTTCAAGTTGCTGTCCAGCGGTTGGTCGAACATGCCACTGGCATGAGTGATGCCACGCTCCATGCGACTGCGTCGCGAGCAGCATCTGCACATAATTAGAGTAAATCCCAACAAGTTGGAAACCGGATTTAGGACAATTAGTGCTGGGATTCCCTAGACATTGCTCACAAGGATTGAGTTATTGGGTTTCCAACTTTTGGGCTTCTCCTATAAGAGATTGCACGCGCATGTCTTGGCGGACACTGGCAATTTGTCGAGACGACGGCAAAGCGGTAAAGCCTGAAACTGATTGACAACTCATGAGTTTACAGCAGGTTCGGGGTTCGGGAGCTGATGTCTCAAGTCCATGTCTTAGGCCAGGAGCAGAGACGTGGCCTGATGGCACCCGGTTCCAGGGCATTTTTGCGCTCGGGCCTTGGGTGTGCGGGTTGAGGGGCTTTGGGTTTAGGGTTTGCAGTTATATGACGGGTTAGAGTGTTATAAGGCTTGAGAAGTTCGTGTTGATGGTTCTCGGATTGTTTGGGGTTTTAAGAGTGCTACGGGATTGGGGTTTCTGAGGCTTGGAGAGCACTGACCCGGAGGGCAGCTGTAAGATTTGGGTAGTCGCGGAATGCATCTAGAGAGTCGAACGTGTCGTGTAGCCCAGATGATGCGTTGACTCTTGATGTGCTTCTACCCTTCTGTTCTGAAGTTTCACCAGTGTCTCTATTATAAAGTTGTATGTAAAAGGAGTGATTTTTCATACATCCCATACAGTGCTGCGATAGTGCATTACCAACACGCTAGCAGCGCCTCATTTCTCATGAATGAGTTGTGGTGCATTTCATCATCATGTCATGTGGGGTGTCGGTGCATGGTGTTCATGTCATACTGGTGTGATCCCTTACCCTAGGCTTACAAGCAGCCTCCCTACACTCTACACTAGCAATGGACTAACGGGGATTGGGCACTTGCTTGGGATGTGCTCGGCTCAATCACCACACACCGTGCACAACAACCCCAATACCCAATAGCGAAATAACCCTGATGTTAGTTATTATTAGTACAAGCAGTACTACTACTAGTGGTGATGCTGTTAACCGTCGTGGCCTCTGATACCCCACTCCTCCTCCTACTTCGAAGAACCAACGGCATAAACGTGAAATTGGCCGCAATTTCTTTGACGGCGACAAGACATGAACATAGCTGTTTCGTTGTATGTCTCGATGATGGCCGTCCATACGTCTTTTGTTGCATCGCAATGTTGCAGGCAAGCCCTGCTTCTATACACTCAGAAATTCATGCTGCCATGTGGGCTTGCTCGTTACAAGCTTGCAGTACTGCATGATTGCCTTGTCATCCTCGTGCATACGGCTTAGCGTGTACTGCATATTGCATGGACTTCTATTGCAATGATTACAGTAGTTACCCTACGATAGTACCGGCGACCAATTGCGTCTAGTCTCGCATCTTTGCTTCATCACGCAGCATGATATTCGGAATGCGTCCAGACTGACCTAGATGCCGACACTGCCGACACTTCACTTGTGTTTACAACACCGCTCGCATACTTCATCGTCAGCTTTCAGAGCCCAAGGGACTGCACCTCAAAGCACCCTCAGTAAGTATCTAGTGCTTCGAGAATATCTTCTCCTGCATAGCAAACGCCGCTGGCTTCTTGGAATGACGCCGCTCAGGGCGAAGGCCCGGCAGCCTCGCCCAGACGTAAGGGCTTCGGAGCTTCGAAAATGTCTTGGGAATGCATAAGGCAGGGCCGCCATCAATGCGGCGCGTTGCGGATGCCGTCGGAGCCCCAACAACAGCCCTTCAGCGAATGGGTCAATAGTCTCTTTGCTGAACATCTTCTGGGTACTTCTGGGTCACGAATCAGTTTGCAGTTATGTTACGACGAGGGTTCGGTCGACGTCTACCTCGCCCTAAGTTTTCCTTGCCCTTGGTACTGCATTGCATCTAGCTGTGTGGTGTGGCCGTGGTTTTGTCAGCGCTTTCTCTGTTGTTCGAGGCTAAAGGTTCAACGTACATTGGATTGCAGGGTGCCCAGGGGTGCCTTCGTTTTCTGTTCCTGAAGCTGGCATTGTCGTTGCGATTTCCGGCTGCCAAATGCAGGGAGCAACTGCGCAAACAATCACAACTTCGTGCGAGGCATGTAAGCGGCAGAAACTTCTGCGGTCAAGGAGATATAGATCGGCTATCGCGATAGCCAGGACAACAGTATCTCTCATGAACTTAGCCTCCAAACGTCGTTCACACATGTTCTCCAAAACCCAGTGATCCCGAAGCAAAGACCACACAGAATCACGAAGTTCCTCACTGCCCAACACCTCACACCCTTATATACCTTTCAAGCAGTTCAAGCCTTTGAAGAAGCCCCTGCCAGGTCAGGAGTAGTTCGACGCATATTTGACTGACTCCTTTACGGAGGGGAGTCAACAATGCGGGGCAGGCATCTCCAAGACAGAGAATCTGATCTGTAATATTCGACTGTAACAAACGGATATCATCCAAACGCTTGCTTGCAGTGGCTTGCAGGCTTACGGGATTTGTTGAGCATCTTTGCCATTAGGCAAGACTCCAATTTAGTGAACGTGCTCAAGCCGTGATGACAGCCACTATAATACAAGCATTCTAGCCGATGCAAGCATGGTTCAGCAATCATGAACCTAGTAATAATAGTATGCGTGCATGCATTCGATGTCGAAAGAGAGATGTGCCTTTGTTAATGTCCGCACTGGGGCAAAGTCCCGTTGTAGCGTAGGATAGGAAGATGACTCGAAAAGGCATCGTTGAAGTGATCCGGTACAGAGCAGCTGCAGCAACCGCAACAACGTTCGTAGAAGTGGACGAGATGAACAGAACCACCCGTTTTCGCAGCTCAGGGCTACAGAGTCTCCATGAAGAAATCTTGGTCGGCCTTCGGGTACATTTCCTGAAGCTCCTTCTTCTGACAACGCCGTCGGCTCGAGCTCAAGCTTTTCGACATGGCATGCTTTACGAGCGTCACCTGCCTTTTGGTATACCTATCGAATTCCGAGGTTCGGCTCGTCGAGAGCACAGCCCAGCAGTACAACTGAGCACGTCGGAAAATCATGTAGCTAGCTATGCAACAAGCAGATACGCGCTCGAAAATCTGTGTGCATTCACACGCACCCTCAACTGTGCACACATAATAGCCTTGGCTGTTTGCCTCAGTCCTGTTTCACGCAATGCTCCCTGACTAGATTGCAGTGTTCCACTACAAACATCGCCAGCCCAACTTCACGCGCACGACCGACCTTCGTCACCCCACGGCCGCTCAGAGTCAGAGTTCAGGGGTTCAGGGCCTAAGCGGCCCGAACGATGGGCCAGCAGCCCAGTGCTCCTGAAACGCGGGTCTCCGCAAAGAAGCTGAAGGCCTGCAATGGTGGGGCTCCTGTTGCCGTGGGTCGGAGAGCAAGATCCGTTGTTACTAAAGGTACCGAAGTAGATCTACATATACCTTGTAGACATACTATGGGCATACCTTGGTCTTTACTTGATGGGGATTGTGTAACACTGTATTACACAATGCGCACCGGTTTGCTTGAGTCCATAAACATGGAAGCCTCAGGCTGACATGCTGGGCGCTTGGTATAAAGATGTATAAAGTCTCCAGCGCACCGGCCTTGAATTGTAACTATGGATGCTTTTCGGTAGACTCCTTCTGCAAAGACACCATGTGTCGGGCTAGCACGCGCGCAATCCAGAAGGCGCAGAGGTTAAGTCAAACGAACATCTTTCATTCCACATCGAGCGGGGTTCTGAAGTTTCTGGGTTCGACAGGTATCAGCAAGCAGGGGTTGTGGCAAAGCAGCACTACAGCCTGGAGCTCTGCGGCAGAAGCCTTGCGAGCGTCATCGTCCTGCAAAAGCCCTATCAATTCCCAAGTGATGTGTTTTTTTTTCGGAGCCCTAGGGACCCCAAAAGCCTTCAGCCGAAAAAGGCAGCCCACAAATCGTGCCGAAAGAAGGCCTTCGAAATTCTCGGGCTCTACACCCAGCTCGAAGCCGCCCTGGAGAAGCCCACGGGGCCCGCTGACGTCGGCCAGCCCTATCGGCAGCGCCTCGCAGAGCATGTTCATGTTGCCACTTCGATCCGAGTCACGCGTGTTAGACCGCTGTGCAGAGAGTCTGCCACGTCCTGCAACCGGCTCTGGTGCGAAAAGCTTGGGTCAGGTTCCCGAGCTATGTAAACCTTCGCTTCGTTTTGGGCTCCAGGGTATAGGCTCTCAAACAAGTGAAGTTTTCGCAATATAGAGGCCTCAAGAATTACCTACTATACTAGTTTGGGGGTTCCTTATTATGACTATAGTATAATATGCCCCGAAATCCTATTCTAATTATTAAGGCCCCTTTTTTTAGTCGTAGCATCTTACTGCGGCCCCCCTTTTCACCAAAGCTGCGAAGTCGCGCTCTGAGGATCGTTGCCTGGTGCAAGGCGCACGCCCTTGATCTGGACTTGGAGGGAGTCCTGGAGATCCTGGCTTCCGAGGTGCTGCAACGGTTCTGGCACTTGGGGCTCGTGTTTAGGCCAGGCTTGTGATGGAGATCCTCAAAGTCTCTCTCTACTCTACTCTCTCTATTCTCTTTCGGTTGTTCTAGGCTAGCAGGTCAATTGGAGACCCCGGCACGATCGGGCTTAGGCAGCACGGTGTCTCATTGTGACTTGTCGTTGGTCGAAGCCTTTCCCAGACCGGCCCACTCTGCGCACATGAGATTCAGACCGAAACGCCGGAAACCCCTTGCTTCATGCAGCCGGGAGTCGAGCATTTAGTTGAACCGTGCAGCTACAGAGACTCATTCGAGGAAGGCGGCTATCCGCCCTGGCGCCGGCTCCTGGACGGCACTAGTGGAAGCCTTCCGTTTTGGGGCTGCTGCTCTCAGCCCGACTGCTGCTAAACTCGCCGCTCGAAACATTCGTCGAAACTCCAAACCCCAAGTTCCTGACAGTCCAAATCCACGGGGCTTCGGAGTCCCCGATCTTGTTTACCTGCCCAGGCAGGCCCTCGAAGAGGCATACCGGCTCCTTTACGACGAGGCTGCGATTCCCAGCCCAGATCGTCCTCTCATGAACTAGCTACGCCGTATCAAGCCTCCGGTCCATCCTCAAGCCCTGAACTTGATCACGATAGTCCTGAACCAAAAACAATGGTCTACCGTCAGGCCCTGCGACTTCAGATCTTTCGTCAATGAAGCCTACATCCAGGAATCGCCAAACCTTTCCGGAACACCACCCCAACTTTCCGGAACACCACCCCAACCCTTAAGCCAGCCTAAACACCTTACTCAAGCTTTTCGCAAGAAGCCTTCAACACCCCTCACAAACTTCCCCCGACCTAAACCCACCCTAAGCCCCCCTTAGGCCCCACCCAAACCAACCCCTCCAAACTCGAAAAGGCCGCGGCCTCCGGCTCGCTGGCCCTGGATCGACTCCCCGAGCCTCCCACTTCCGAGGACCCGCAGCTTAAAAAAGGGGCTTAAAATAATCGCCTGTACTATTTTTGGGGGTTACCTTATTATAAGTATAGTATAAAGTACCCCAAAATCCTATTCTAATTATGAAGGGCATATGAAGGCCCCCATATTATTCAGCTCATGCAGTTCTCAGATCATACCATCTAGTCTGTCTTAGCAGATCTTATGGCCAATGGTGATAGTACTCTAGTGTCCGTTTTGTATCTTATCCTGTCATATCATATCTGGGATTACCGGTAAGCCAGACGGAAACCCACGCCGCCTTCGGATGTCCGGGAAGCCTGAAAGACTGCCAGGAGATTGGCTTCCGGCCTTTGCCTGAAGCCTTGGTCTCGGGGGAGGCCTACAAGCGAAACTGCTACGCAGGAGTCACTCTGCAATTGGGCAAGACTCTGCAGAAACAGGGCTTCGTGGAGTGAGATGCAGTCTGTGATACTTCGCGAGACATGGAATGAAAGGTTCTGAGCACGGTGATGTCATGTTTGCATTCTTTGATCCACAACGAGAAGGATATCTAGCAGCAAATCTTGGCGATGGCCCATTTCAAGAGGATGCTTTGAAGACCAAAGCACCTGGAGAATGTACCGCCGAAGATTTGACTACGAGATCTACCGGGTCAACGCGGCAGGCAAGGCATGCAGACTGGTTGGAGAGCTTAGCTTGTATCAATTTGCTGTGACTCAGCTTTTCTGATACGGTGTGGGCAAGGTAGCTTTGTGCAGTACTAGTAGTCGTCGTCGCCGTCGTTGTGGTGGTGGTGCCGGTGGTGTTCGTTGTCGTCGTAGAAGCAGGAGTGGTAGTATTCGTCGTCGTCGTCGTCGTCGTCGTAGTTGTAGTTGGATGTGTTGGTTGTTCTTCGTTCCAGTGGCAGGGATAGTGAGTGGTCATCGCCGTAGCAGCGACAGCGGCAGTCTCAACGTCCGTGGTACTACCAGCCGGAGCGGTGGTTGCATTTGCAGGTTTCGTGGCTGGTCGCAAGATCGTGTCCGGGACGCAAACGCGATCCTTGTCTACAGTTGGAAGTGCTGGCTGCATGCCAGAGTAGGTCCTTACCAAACTGCTTGGCGAACTTTGTTCTGAAGGTGGAACCCATGGCCCATGACCTACCTTGTGCCTGCAGTTTGTCTCTTCGTCTGGCTGTCGACACATCAAGATGTCAGCATGACTTCGCCCAGCTTTACAGCTAGGGTTCCGTCTACTCCAAACATCTGCTCGCCCCAGAACCAAGGAAGTGTCTGTGCCGCGGATGTCGCTTCAAAGGCCTCTTTAATGAGACTGCATGGAATCTGGACTTCCATCCAGCTACAGAGACGTAGGAATGTAGGGCCAAAGTAGGGTCGTTGAAGGTTTAGCTCGCTGCAACGAGGACAGATTCCTGCAAACTAGCCTCCTGGGTGACCTGCAGGGTTCCTTCTGTGTAAGCATGCAGCAGTCATTCACCATTCCTCGCCTCCAGCTTCCAGGCGGCAAATGTTAAGGGGCTTCAACTCGTCAATGCTTTTGAAACTGCAACAGCAGCCAAGCTTTCAAGATTTGACATCAAGGTTTCGGGGTCTGTAAGGTGCTGCCGGTGTGACCCTTGGAATCCCCTCCTCCCATCGGAAGGTTGCCGAGACGCTGCTGCCAGATACTTGCTGCGTGAGCCGCGAGGAGTACTGGTGCAAAGAGCAACGATGGTTGTGATCTAGTTGTAGGAGACTAGACATGGCTAGAATGGCTTAGGGTATTACGGTTTAGGGCCGTTTAGGGTTTAGGATGAGCATCCTGAGAAGATTGGCCGGACTGCGCTGCAAGGATATGCACTCGGCCAAGGGGCCGTTTCTGCTGCCCAAGGGTTCACGTGGGCAGCCGCGGCGCCTAGGCTGCAAAGACAACACAAGCCGAGCATCAGCACCACCACGTGCATCTTCCTTCTCCTCCTGATCACCTCACCATCGCCGTCATCATTATCACGCATCGCAATCATCAAAAGCTCTTCTGGTCACATTGTTGCTTTCAGCAGAGGTGGGCGTGCAGGTTTGCTGCAGGCAGTGGATCGTGGTTCAGCGTGGAGTGCAGGATTCCGACTCTGGGGTGCTCTTGAGGACCAGGGAGTGGCTATGGTCCGAACCCGGGCTAGCTTTCTAGGCCCACCGACTGCAGTACACCACAATTGGATGCCCAAGTTTTATATTGGTTGGCGCCGTGCTTCCACAAAAGCTTCAGACCTCCGGTTTCTGTTGAACTTCAAGAGCGCCAGCACCTCAAGCGACTCAGCTGCTTAATTATTTTCTTGCGGTTGGAGTCTCGGTGTCTTTGCTTTCAGGCACCCGTGAAATGCACCCGTGAAGTGACATCCTGCACAGGGGGATCGAAAAGGGTGGCATTTGTCATCCGACTTAGTTTGTACTTGTGCCAAACCCAGAGTATGCTGCGATCTTCGGTCCTCAGCGGCGCGATTTCAGAGCTTACTATAGGGGCTTGCTAACAGGGCCCCTTAATTATTACCTATGATTTTTTGGGGGTTCCTTACTATGGTTACAATAATCATATATCCCAAAGCCCAAAACCCTACTGTAATTATTAAGGCCCCCACATTATGCCAACAAGGTGGGCGCCGCCGATGGCAGATGAGGAGACATTGGCATCTCTGTGTCGCAGGGGGGTCACGGTTGCATTCGACCCCGTGCCATGGTCGCTTCTTCTCCCAGAACAGCGGATCCTTCCATTTACGAGCAACATTCTAAAGCAGTTGACTGAGGGTGCTCTGCAGGTTAGATGCAGAATGTTCTTCTGGACATTTCTACAGCAATCGGATTATACGGTACATCGGTTTAGCTAATTTAGTTGCCGCGCTGTTTACTCTAGATGCAAATCTCAGACATGCTGAGCCTTCATGTAGACGGGTACGAGCCGTCAGCGTCGTCCGTCACTCAATTTACATTGCTCTCCTCCACGTCTTCTTCATCTTCATCGCAATACGCTGCGACCTGTGAAGGAAATGAGCAACTCTTTTGCCTCCCACCACACGAAGGCTGGGACCAGCAGCCTGAGAGTTGTGCCTGCATGGTTAGATGTGGCCTGCCTGCGCACTGCTACTGTAAGTTACTACCTCCCCCATGCGCAGCCCAAGTCCACACCGAGACAGGTCCTCGAACCGCTTCACTGGGAGGTGGGCCGCCTACGGCCGCCTCAAGCTCCCAAGTGTGTTGCTGTTCTTGCTCAGCGGTGCATGCTATCAAGCTGTTCAGCTTACATCGCGAATAATATGCAGTCAGCAGCTGTCCATTTCGAGTTTCCAGTTGGAGAGTATTGCCAGCACTATAGTTCTTCCAAAGCAGTCCGGATCTGCACTGCATGAGTTCAGCGCAGTCATCAGTGAACGCAAGCAGACAGCGCAACAAGATGGAACAACGATGCCAGTCAAACCCTGGCTGGATGGACAATCGGGCAAGCCTGCAATGCAACAGGAACTCAAACCCTAAACTGTCCTCGTTACACCCTCAAGACTTAAACCTAAACTCTCTGTGCTGGCTCCTTCCACGAGGACGGCGAAGTCCCTTCCCAGCGCGGGCGTTTGAGTATGCCTGGTCAGAAGGGAGGCCTCAGAGGGTAGGGGAAGCGGGCTCTGGATGTTCGGACAGTGCACGTAGGAGCCTCCAAGCTGATCCCCTGAAGCCAAAGACAAGACAGGCAAGCTCGAAATCCTTCCTATTGTCTGCTAGCCTTAACCGCACCTATTTCAGTTTTCGGAATGATCAGTCACGCTTAATCACTGAGTCTCCGGTGGACCCAGTCCCCCGCCCTGTCTCCCAGGATCGTCGCGCTAGGCTCGCCACGCTAGGAGCAGTGCTTCCGGCGAGAAAGGTGCGTGCAGGCTTGAGGTCATCGTCTTGGAGTGTTGAGATTCAAGGTTGCTTGAGTTTGTGACACCGTCCAAGCATCTGATTTGTTGACGTGTAAAGCTTCAGGATTGGAGATTCGTCGCGCTCTGTGGAGCTCCTGACTTCAGCTTCAGCAGGTTCTGCAAGATTTGCTGCACGACCTAGGCCTCTAAGACCCGCAGTCATAGACGTTGCCGCCGTCGCGATTCGTCACTGTGTCGTTCTACTTGCGCCGGAACTTCTAATTTGTCTAATGTTGGGGGAGACCAGACTGGCATGGCAGCCATAGTCGTTGTCGGGCTGTGATGGCAGTAGTGAGTAGTTTCAATGATGGCGGCCTCCTGGTACTCGAGGCGTGGATACAACTTTGGCAGGCATCACCAATCAAGGTGGTGACCACTGCCAACGGTTTTGTTGGCACTGCTACTGCGGGAGGAGTAGGAGGACTATGAGTCAGCCGTCGTCGACCACGTGCCGGTCGTCGTTGTTGTAAGCAACAGCAGAAGGAGTAGGGTAGACTTCGGTTAGGTAGAAGCTCAGCAGCTGTGTAAGGCAGACAGCAACAGCAAGAGCAGCCGGGAAAGTACCCTTCCGGTATGTTGGGAGGTGTAGGCTGCGAGCATTGAGTAGGAGACGCTTCGAAGCAGTCCTTCCTTCATGGCTCCTTGTTTTCCTCTCTGCAGCAGCGCTGGTGGATCTCAGATATATTTGCATGCCTACCCACAGTACGAGGAATCACAAAATCATCGTAATCCTTGGAGCAGAGCTGCAAACTGAAAGTGCCCCGGCTGCAGTCAATGGATCCCTGTAGGTTGTGGCAGAAACGCAGGGGAGTATGCCATGCATGAAGCAGGGACAGCCCATGCAACACGCCGCTGCAGTCTGCATCCTCTGTAAATTACTGCCACCCTACATCGCGTCAATCTGTCACAGGGACACCGAAGATGTGCACAGCATAAACTGCCCCCTCACAACAAGCTATGTTGCTGCAATGAGTGCATCACGCCGCGTGAGTGCCACGCTGGTGCACAGGAGCGTACAAGTCCCGGGTCTCGCGTATATGCGAAGTAAGAGTGGTTCATGAAAGGTCTATGCTGTAGAGCGTGGCGCTTGAATGCTAATTGAGGACTAGGGCTCCGGGCCTGCAAGTTCTTTCAATCCGCATGCATTCCTCTTCGACTGATGTCTGTCTAGTTGCGTAGCCCAAGACAAATTCGCAAATGAGTTCTAAAGCTCAGTTAACACGTGTGGCAAAGTGGCTGCCCTGGAACTTCGCAGGAAACCTCGGATTTCGCTTCAGGAGGTCTTGTGCCGAGCCTGCACTAGCAGAGCAGCATAGGTGTTCCGACATTTGGATTTTTGGTCGATTTCCTCTACATGAGTTTGTCCGTGAGCTCTGTTTGCTTCACTGTAATAACAACCGAGTATGTTCTGACATATTCTGTGTGTATACATACCTGATGGCTATCATATGTATAAGTTACCTATCTACTTGTTTGCCTATGTACCTACGTAGCTACTTATGTAAGTAGTCCAAGTCCCTAAGTACCTATCGG